CACATAACAAAAATGATGGCAACAAATTCATATTTGCCGATAACTATGTATCTGGCAAGGGACTTATCTTCTAAGTTTTACAGCAGAAGAGTGGATGACCAAACTATGGTACATACACATAATGGAATGCTATGCAGCACTGAAAAATAATGTAAAGTCTGCAAAACACCAGACTTGGAGGACATTATGCTAAGTGAAATAAGTCAATCACAGAAGGACAAATACAGCATTAGTTTATCGTTGTGGATGGTTAAGGAAAGGTTTATATATGGAGGAAAATTTTCTTCATTGGTTGCCAAGGGTGGGAGCGGAGGGGAGGGAACACTGCAAAATGAAAAAAAAAAAAGAGTATGCATTGACTCATGTCACTTTGGTTTTGTGTATTTCACTGTACATAGATTATATTTCAATAAGATGCATTAAAAAAAGAGAGAGAGAGAGAGAGAAAAAAAGATTAGCCTGTCTTACATAAATCAACTTCTCCAGGCAACATTTCGTGCATACTTTTTTAGATATTTTCTGAAAATATTTTTCATTCCATTGTAATCCATAGAGAGACTCATCAACTTCAATTGCACATAATGCTGCAGGTCAAGATGCCTCAGGATTTTATGCAGAGGAATTTTGATAATCTTTTCTGGCTTTCTTAACTAAGCCTGATATTTTATTGGTAAGTGTGTCACACTCCCCCAAATTTCTTTTTGCTCTTTGCAAGATTCTAGGCCAAGACAAGGGCTGTGTTCAATGTACTTTGGTTCATGTGAGTAGTTGTGAAAAACAATCACAAAAATAAAGAAAAAATAATCCATCAGAGAATTGAGTTAGTTTGAAAGAAGGAAGGAGAGTAATTTTTTTTAAATCACTTAGAAATGGATATCTTTTGTCCTTTTTTTATTGGTTCACTTGACAATAATTTCTTTTTTATGGTTTTGTTTATAGCAGAGAGCCCTGGTAGCTCAGTGGCTGTGAACCAAAAGGTTGGTGGTTCGAACTCACCAGTCACTCCATGAGAGAAAGATATGGCAGTCTGTTTCCTTAATGATTTATAGCCTTGGAAATGCTATGAGGCAGTTCTAGTCTGTCCTGTAGTCTCACAATGAGTCAGACTCCAACTTGACGGCCATGCTTTTTTATTTGTTTGTTTGTTTATAGCCTCAAAATTCCTATCTTGTGTAACTAGGGATGGGTACATAATCAAGATTACTAAAGGATGAACTAGAGGTCTTATGTAAGTATTATTTTTGCCCTTTGAGGAATAGACTTAATCCTTAACTAAAATGTCTCTTACGAACAACTCTGATGCAAGATGGCAAAGCTCTTTTTGCCATTTATGTCATGAGTGAGAAAGCCAGTTACGTCATGAGTGAGAAAGACAGGGACAATCACCACTCTCTGTAAGTGAATCAATAAATCAACCAAAGTAAAGGGAGGAAAATGTGTGAGAGCAATGCCTGAGTAGTAAAAATGTTAGCTCATTTAGAATTTTGGATAATAAGAGTCCTTATTGTTCATGTTATTTAATTCCCATGAAGAGCTAATCAGTTTCATATATTCATAAAAGTTAAATCAAAATGAACACTCTCTACATATATATGAACTTTTAGTAATATTGTCTATAACATTAGATAGTACAGTGACCACTCCTTGGGTTTCTGAGGCAGTAGCACTAGGGAAGGGAGTTCTGGTGGCATAGTGTCTAAGGTATTTGACTGCTAATCAGAAGGTTGGTGGTATAAACCCACCAGCCACTCCTCGGAAGGAAGACTGGGCAATCTACTTCTGTAGAGATACTGCCTTGGAAACCCAAGGAGGGATCACTGTGAGTCGGAGAAGACTCGATGGCACATAATAACAACATCACTAAGGAACTAGATTGCCCAATCTTCCTTCCAAGGAGTGTCTGGTGTGTTTGAACCACCAGTCTTCTGGTTAGCAATCAAATGCCTTAGGCACTACACCACCAGAGCTCTCTACAATCTGTCTGGAGATCTTTTTCACAGAATCTTAGGAGGAAAAAAAAAGTTGGTAAAAATTCAAGCAGCAGAAGAGGGCAGTAAAACTCAAAAGAGAAGTTGAGTTTCTTATTCTTCATACAGAGAGATTTCCAACAAATTTGAGAAACTCATAAATGAAATTTTGTACAAGACATGTATTTGCCTAAAATATAGACAAATACTAAATATATTCAAAAATAAGTTTTAATTTCTACATAATCAAAAGCTTATTTTCTGGAGTAGAATCGTAATAGTAGCATAATGATAGTAGTCTTCCATCTAAAACTCCCCTCAAAGTGCCTATTGATTTGATTTTACTCTCTCAGTACTGTCAAAATTATTTAATAATTTAAGTAAAAAATAATTTTCCTGAAGCCCATGCTTTAGATTTCTTCTCAAAATTATGGCCAACCTTAAAGTCTTAGTTTCTTCTTAAACTTTTTTCTGACTGCATCCTGCTAGAGAAACTACAGATTAAACTAAATAGTTTAAGCAAAAGATATTTTTTTTTAATTTCCACCAGGAGATGGAGTTCAATTTCTTTAAGTTCTAAACAATATACATAGGATTGTTTTCTATGCTCTGCTTTGCTCTCACCTTTGAGTTCAGAGTCTCTCTGAACACACGACAGCACACCCTTCCATAGAGAGTAGGTACACGATTATATCTGATGAAGCAGATAATCATAATGACAAATTCAAAATGAACTTAGGGTTATAGTATAGAATTTTAGTACACTGTCAGAATCAGAATATGGATTTTTACATGGTATCTAAGCAAAGTTAGAATTAGTATCCCTAAATATCAATTTAAAATTTGAATAGATAAAGCCTACTTATTTAAAATGAAACAAAAAATCAGAATTATTAAAAGAAAAATGGAACGATCTCTGCTTTCAGTTGAAATTTCATGTAAGGTTCGGTACAATAAGTGGGAGTACCACAATGCAATGGTTAAATACAGCTTTAGTACAAGAAAAACTTCCTTGATGAGATGAAATTTGACTCATTTGTGTCTCATGTAGAATCAGATAAAGTGCACATTAAAAAAAATGATTAAAAAAAACCTTTTTTATCTGAAGATTCTATTCATTGAGAGATCTGAGGTAGTTTTAATTCAGGTTATATGCCACTGTTTCCCATTAATAGTAAAAAATTATGGCTTAATTGAACTTTTGATTCTCCATTTGCAGTTAACTTTTTTTTTTTTAATTAGAATTTTATCTTCACCCATCCCTCCACAACCATTGCCACTAGGTAGACATTAAATAAAAATAAACCCACTCCAAACCCTCAGCCATCAAGTAGACTGCGACTCATAGGGACACTTTAAGAAAGAACAGAACTGCCCCCATCAGATTTCCAAGGCTATAATTCTTTAGGGAAGCAGATTGCCTCATTTTCCTCCCACACAGCGGCTGTCTGGTGATTCAAACTGCCGATCTTTAGTTAGCAGGACAATGTTGTAAACATTAGGCCACCAAAGCTTCTGAAATAAAAAATAAAGGACGATGAAATTAAAAACTATCAAAAATCATCCCTTCTTTACATCCAATTCCTCGGCAAACTTATGTTCCAAAATAAGAATGTAAATTAGCTCTAATAAATCCAGACAGTGGAAAAGTAAGTGCAATGCTATACTTTAATCTATTGTCACAACTCATCGTCTTGGAAAAGTGGGCAAAAAAGACAGCGAACTTCAAAATTTCATTTTTACTGGCATCTTCTGTGAAGGGCTGGTAATCAAAGTGGTGAGAACAAAGCGGCAGAGAAAGATAGGCACTAAAGGAGATGTTTTGGCCTTCTGGCGTCTCTCCAAACCCGAGCACCTCAGCTTCGCTTGTTCATAAGAGAGTATGATTTACTAGTGGTCGAGTTGTGACAGCTTAGGAGCCATATTGTAGAGGAGAATTCACTTTTTTTTTCCTCTCCAAGAAGCAAGGTAGTGATGGAGGGGAATAGTATTTTTTCCATGTAAAATTAAAAAAAAAAACTTACTTTAAAAAAAATGTTAAGATATGCACATTGACTATGGCTATAATACTTTATTAGGGGAAAAAAAAGTACCTACGTATATGTCGCATCTTCGCTAAAATCAAAAGTGTAAAATAGTCCAGCTTTTTTCAGCCTTACTCACTCCAATCTGTCCAGACTCTGACTTCCTTGTCTTCAGCATTCTCCTCCCCACAAGACACACGGGCAGAGACCAGAGGGGGGCAGCGAGCGAGGGAGGGATTCCCTGAGCTCTGGAACCTGCGGAGGCTCGGTTCAGAGGAAGCAGAACGCCCCTACTCTTCACCGGCTCAGCTGTCCCAAAAGGATCTGTGGGCGCGGGCTCTTCCAACAGACTGGAAGTAAGGAGTCTCGCTCAAACCGGGACTTG